ACTCGTGCGCACGAGTTACTAAAGCGTTCGCACGAGACGGTATCTCCTGCGAACGAGAAAGTAAAACGTGGCCACATTTTATTTATTTTTCTCTCTATGAACCCTCCAGGGCTTCGTAGAAATTACTAAACTGGTTGGCAACGAAAAAAAACATGTGGTAGTTTGATGCTTATAAAATAGTTTTTATCCATTTGAGCCTGGAAAGTAATATTGCTTGGAAAATGTGTGAGAGGAACAAGAAAATCTGGCGCCGGCAGTCGTGCTGTAATGCCTGGGCAGATCGACCCCAAAACGGTAGCTTTGAGACTCTGTGTGGAATGCAACCAAAGAACTGTGCAGGCTATTTCTTTTTCAGCACGAAGTGGTCTTTTTTACTCCTTTCCATCCGTAGCTACAACATTTTAGGATTTGATACTAGACCTCTCCCACTTACGCTGTCCCAGGGAGTTATGGTAGGAAGCGGGGCTTGACTGGCGGTTAGGGAAGCAGGATGGATGGAACTACTGTGGTAAGCGTTTGTGGCGATGAAGTCAGCGTTTGGCCCACATTAAAAGTCAAGCAGGCGAAGGCACTCACACAACAGCTCCACTACCGCCAACATGTTTAGAACACATGAAAGTGTTTTCCTAGATACTGTCAGGCTGGTGTCTTTCTGCATTTCCTGAAAGCAATTAATATTGGGATCGCATTGTGGGTGGTTGGCAGAGCGTGATTGTCCCATCTACATTTAGAGATGATATCATTGGTTGCAGACTGTGCAGACATATGCCATATGAAGTCTTGTACAGGCCTGTTAAAGGTAAACACTGGCCCAAAACTCATTGATATTCTTGGCAAGCTGCTCCCTGACGTGTGCAGGAAATAACGTCAGGCTGGCTGAAAAGAATGATGTCAAGGAGGATACCACACAGTGAGCTTGTTTTTATTGCTCTGTCGAGAGAGATGATAGCGCTGATTCATTTATTAAAGCAGTATTTCATATTTGTAATGCAAATCTCTATGAGCTCACGCATACTCTGACACTTCTAACCCTCAAAGAAAGCCTCCACAAAATAATAAGCCAGATCAAATATTGCAAAACAGAAGACAAAGAGTATAAAGTTTGTGCACAATCTCACTTTTTAACATACAATTTAAAGTGTAATATCGTTTGCGTGCAAGGTCTGCATTATTTCCATAGCTTTTTTTTTAACTGGCCTGTGTTTTTAAGATTTATTTGTCCGCTGCCATGGCGACGAGTAAATATTACCACCCCATCCTTTTCATCTCACACGTTTTTTTCCAGCAGGGCAAAGGGTAATGATCTGGGTAAGAACGTGCTGCATACATATGTTGATTATCACGTTTACTAGCGGTGCAACCATAGGAAGCGTGAAACTTAATATTTCATCTGGAAAATATACTTCAGTTTCCTACATTAGTTTCCACACTTGAGACCTATGTTGACGAAGTGTGCTAGCAAAGTTGTATTAATGGTTTTTAGAACATGTTGCCAACATCTTTATATTCATACCCAAATCAATGTGCAGCCTGATTGCATTTGAATCTTTGGCATTAGGCCACCCTTATAGGTGGGGCAGAGGACTTTTAAAGAAGTTGGACTGCTCCTTTCTCCTTAATGGGACAGCCATTCTAATAAATACTAAAAGCTCACTTCTGAAGTTGAAACTGATATTTCTAACAATGTGGCGATAAAGTCAAACACAGACAAACTATCATGCCAACAGGTGCAGTTATTATTTTGTGCAACACTGTCTGAAGCTTTACTTTTGACACGGCTCATTGACTCTGTAAAGCCCTCTGCATCCTCCCCTTTATTTCTTTCTAATAGTTCTCAGTCACCACATCATAGTATTACTCAATCTCCCCACACTTAGTTACAGACAGCGTTTGGACAGCCTGAAGCCGGGGCATTAGCCATGATCATTACTGGTTTGGAGTCCCCAAAAAGTGTTTGTGTCAGCCTTTTTCAGTGACAACCCTTCGTGCAATGTCAAAGAAACATTTCTGGGAAATTGAATCCAACTTCTGAGTTTTGTTTTGTCATGTTCATCTTGTTATTATATCTCTGCTCTTTGATGGCAGATATAGGAAAATGTGGCAATCATTTCAAAAGAAGCCACACAACCAAAATGTAAAACATCTTAGCAAACCAAAGCATTTAAACTTCCGACAGTGCCACAAACGTTTGGTGTCTGACCACCTGACAAATGTAAGTTCAATATTTATGTATGGCTCTTTAGCAGCTAAATACTTAACGTTCTGCAGTCAGTCGCTAACTTTGTCTGACATGGTGCTGGTAAGGTAATGTGGAGCTTGTTTATCAGAGCATTGTGCTACTGAAAGCAGCTCCATGCATCTGGATACAATGCTGGTGACAGCTGTGAGACTGGTAAAGTTTCCATACAACTGCTGAAAGGTGCTAAACCACACTCTTCTTCACCATATGCTTAACTTTCCATTTTACTCATCTAACTAGTTCTGCATGTAAAAAAGGTTTTTAATGTTGTGATGCTGTGAAAGAAAACGTTGTCAATTAATGCTTGATTTGGCATATAAAGAGGCAAACTAGATCTCAGGCAGAAACTAGGGCGACTATAACCCAAATAATTATTTTTGTTTGAAGGTTTCATTTGGAAATAATAGTTCCACTATGAGCTCCATTGCTTATACTTACTACTAATGGGCAGCAGACTTGTGCTCATTAGTGAATGGAGCCCAGTTAGTCCCCACTTCTCCTGACTGTGTAAATCAGTAGGGGTGATGTTACTGGAAGCCATCTCTCTGCCTTAAGCATTCATTTCCACTAATACTTGTGTTTTATTGAGAGGGAAAGGCCTCCAGTCTGCCTCACAGTGAACTAACATGTGTTACAGGGAATTTGTGAAGCTTTATGAAACCTTAATGAATGTCTTGCTTCCAGTTTGGTGTGCATTCCTGCTGTTTTTTTCAGTCATGCTTGTTTTACGTTTCCTTTTTTAATGCTATTTTTGAATTATTTGCATCTAAGGCATGTTCGATGTACATGTATCACTAAAAGTTATATTGGTTTTGCTGCTTTAGTTATTACCCATGGTTCTGATGTAAATCAAAGACTTAGCACATATTGTTTTAGCTAGTTTTACATATACCAAAGTCAGAAATGATTACGCTTAATGGCTCTTTGTTTAGAAACACATTAGAAAGTAGTTTTCCCTGTTTATCCACTTAAATGGAAAATTATGGACCAGTTTGTTATATGATTTACATTTTTGAAAGTGAGACCCAAGTTGGCTGACTATTATAAAATCTAGCAGTGACATGTACTAAAGCCATATGCAGTATATCAATTGTTCTTTCACAATCACTTGTTGTTCCTACCATCTAAGCTAATGACCACATCACAGAAACCTCAAAAATGAAAACAACCGCAGGCCACCTCTCCCCCCCACACACACACACACACACACACACACACACACACACACACACACACACACACACACACACACACACACACACACACACACACACACACAGCGCTGAAGCATCAACAAACACACCCCCTCATCTTAGCTCAGGTCAGCTTTCCCTGACCCTCTCTATTAGTCATTTCAGGGAAAGAAACAGGGGGAAAATAAAACATCTGAATTGCAGATTGCAAACTGTATAAGCACTACAAAAACGGATTCAAAGATAACCTAATCCCATATAACTGTGAACAGTTTTGTCAGGTAAGCACGAGTGTATCCATGAGTGGAGTAATGTTCAAATTCCCTCGTGTAGGGATACATTTTCTCAGTGTTGTCAGTTATTACAAACAGCAGCTCAACATATGATAGTGATGACAGCTAAGAGAGCAACAATACACCCCGAGCACTGAGGGCCCCGACAGTTGATCTTACTGTCAGCTTCAACACTTTGAGAACAGTCTGAGCGCTGCTCCATCTACTGAGCAGCTGAGGTATTACCTGAAGACCATTCACTACAGATGTTTCCAACAAAAGTCAATGAGTAATACCACTTCCTGGAGGTTAAGTGTTAAATATTATTGATTTAAAGGACCAGAAGTCAATCCTCTCAACATTGAGGCTGGGTAGTATTTCAATGTGATTTGTGGGGAAAGAAATGTGTCAACCACAATAGATTTTGTATATTTTCCTATATGCAGACGCACAACTTTATTCCTCAGAACAGTCATTGCAGGGTCTGAAAGCAATTATTTTAGGTTAACTGAAGGTTTGGGTCAGAGTCATGATCTAAATGCCAGATCGTCATCTGTTCTCATTGTTAACACGTCATTCTTTACAGTTGTGGCCAAATGGCTTTTCCTGAGTAGGTTGCGCGTATGCTCAACTCTTGGTTTATACATGTTTGTAGTAATGTAGTTTGTCAGCTGCAATATGCTGTTTATACAATGTTAGTCTACAATGGGATATAACCAAGACTGACTGAGTAATAACAGACAATAACAAAAGTTGTATCCATTTTATTTCTACAAATATTTGACACTCATTTACAGCAACAGAGAAATGTGTGTTTAATCTACACGAGTAGTAACATTTACTGCAAATGTGGGCATTTTGTTTTTTGGGTAACTCAGATTTGTACATTGCTGGCACATGTTTGAATACTGATCAACGTTTATTTTAAATGTTGAAATGACAACTGAAATGTCCTGTAGTTGTGCCATATGTATGTATCTAATTCCACAATGCAGAAACTTTAAGTGCATTTCAACTCTGTGGTCAGTATTTCAATGTAAAAAAGTACATTCAGATTAGCACCTTTGAATTACTTCACGTAATTAAAATGTTATAAAAGAGTACAAAAACACATACGATAAATGAAACAATTTAGCAAGCTAGATGGCCACAATCCACAAGACACTGTTCAAATGTGCCATTAAAGGTTTAATGCTAGAAAGGGTTTGCGTCGATCCTTAAAAAGAATTTAATTAATATATCTAAAAATAAGGCCTTAGTTGGTAATTAAATGTCTATCTTTCAAAAGTCTTAAAAATGCTAAGGCATGAGATGTAGGATTTAATGACATTGCAATAAAACATGTGTTTTGGGTAATTGTTGAGTTTAGTGGAATTAAAAAAATATATTACATCTGACTTCCAGAAGTGATGTGTTTTAATGACTGAAATAAATTAAAATAGGGGAAAGGACTTTTTGTGGGCTGCAAACTTATATGTGTGCCAGAATAAACATTGCAAAGTAAACAGTAAATACAAATTCCTGATGGATACTAAATACTTCAGTGCTTGGTTGACATTACATTTTTTTTAAACATGCTGCATTTTCAGATATTCCAAAACTCCCCCAAAATAGGGCATAAAGTGAATAAATGAACAAAATATTTTGCTCATCCAGCATGTCAATTCAAATGTCTTCAACAGGGTTCTGCTCTATAAATAATTTGACAGAGCCAAGCGAACACTTAAAAACGGAGAACGGTCTTTTTCTCTTACAGGACCTTTTCAACTGTGACATTTCAGTCACAGATGAGGGTACACATCCACCTTCTCTAATATGTTAGAGCCTCTTCATGGCCTTATGTGTCCGAGGCACTTGGTTTTGGGGAATTGCCTTGTGGGTAAGAGGCTTCCAGAGGCCACAGGGAGGCAGAGTCATCTTTAAAGCAGCACGGGGCTCAATAGGGGTACGTGGAGATGGAGATGTAGATGATGAAGATGCTCTGGTAGGTAATGCGGCCTTGCAGGGAGATGGTGGTGGCTTGCACCTTGAGGCGCACTAGACCCGGTCCGTTCAGAGCCCGCAGGGTGAAGATGATCCCCCGGCCCTTCTCGTCTCTGATGCCAAACACGCGGCCCATCACACCTGTCACTGACTCCTGCTCAAGTACCGTGAAAGATGTACGGTCCTGCAGGACGCCTGACTCAGAGAAAGCCGACAGTCGTACGACGTTGTGATTGGCTGGAATACCGGAGGGGAGAGTGAGCAGCTTGTACTGCAGGATCAGAGTGGAGCCTCCTGCGGCGCAGTCCAGAGAGCAGGGCCTGTAGCACGTCCTGTACAGGTCAACAGCAAAGAGGAAAGTGTCACATAAGAATCCAAACATTTTATAAACAACGTAAGCATGTCATGCAATTTACCCGGGGCTCCGTCCACTCTGGTAGGACGCAGGGCAGGGTGTGTCCAGGCACTGGTATCCTCCTCGGGTGTTGAAACACATCTGATTGTGTCCGCATTTGATGCCTTGTTCTACACATTCATCGATGTCTAGAAGTAGAGGAGGGGATTAGCTGTGATCATTTATATCTTAAATGGACTGCATTATATAGCGCTTTAAACACTGATGGCAGAGGCTGTGAAAAAAGGTGGCACATGCTGCTCCTCAAGAGCAATAAACATTGTTGGCAATGCGATGGGGAGCAATTTGGGGTTCAGTATCTTGGTCAAGGACACTTTGACATGTTGACTGACCACAGGGACCTTTGGGCTCAAACCACTAACTTTCCAATTGGTGGACATCCTGCCTTCTGAGCAACCCTTAAAGGTAGCAAGAAGGTTACAGTTGAATAAAAGTCTTACCTTTACAGCTCTTGCCATTGGGTAAGAGCTTGTAACCATGGGGACACATGCACTGGAAGCTGCCGATGGTGTTTCGACACTCATGTTGACATGGCTTTCTGAGCAGACACTCATCTACATCTGTACGGAGAATAATGTGTGACAATCAAGACATATTTTATTTTAAAGTGTTTTTGAATGCTGCATTTGATCATTTTGAAGCACACTCACCAACACATGTGCCGTCCCTGTTGCTGTAGCCCACGGGACAGCTCTGCCTGGTGATGCGAGACACACCGTGGGTTCGGGACAGGATCGGCCTGCCGAGAGACGATACCAACTGTGGGCGGAGCCTCGCCCTCACTCTGGTGCCGTTGGTGAAGGTCTGCCTCCTCTCCAGCCCCGCACAGGAGCGCCCGTCTCCAAGCAGCACAGTACCCAGAGGGCACTGGCACCTGAAGCTGCCAGGCACATTACGGCACTGGAAGGCACAGGGGTTTGGCGTCTGCTGGCACTCATCAACGTCTGAAAGGAAGAACAAGGCTCATATTATTCTGCGTGTGTGAGTCAATGGTGAGTAATAAAACAGACACAGCAGATGTCATACCTAGACATGGCATGCCTACTCCCTGGGATCGGTAACCTCTGGGACAAACACAACCATAACCTCCGACTGTGTTCTGACAGATCTGAGTGTAGCGACACATGTGACTTCCATCGTGGCACTCGTCAACATCTGAAAAACATGCAATATATATAGACACAATTCTCAGAATTACATTTACACATCCTTTGATTATTCTGACATGCAGAGTTTTGAATATATCCCATGATTAATTATGACTCATAAACTGTGTTGCATCCTGTTATAAAGAGGACCTTTGTGTCTTTACTCAAACGCTTTTTATGAGTAACAATTAAGAGACTTAAGAGACTACAAACGCGTTAGCTTTCTTCATGAAGGACAAGCAGCGACCTCTTGTTGTGTTAAACCCCTAAAGCAATCCTGTCAAATCTGACCTGGTGTTACACAACATACAATGAAGTGTAGAGGTCTGTGGAATCTGTCAATACTCTATCACCAGCAGTTGCTGTGTGTTTGCTTCTATTGATTGTACTTTTGCCAACAAGATCACATTATTTGACCCGTTGTTCATACTCCAAATTCATCAGTTATTTTTCTCCATGAGCTCAGAGCATGAATGAGTTGATGCCGTGTCACTGAACGGAAAAAACATGCTACATTTAGAAAATATCAAAGATCAAATATAATTGCCACTGACCCATGCAGGCTCCATTTTCTGATTTGGTCATGCCAGCTGGGCAGCTGTCGAAACACTGGTATCCTCCCTCTGTGTTACGGCAGTCCTTGTTACCCGGACAAACATTTCTCATGCACTCATTGATGTCTGTAAAAAAGCAACCATTACAACAGATCCGTTAGTCATCATATTAAAACCTGACTTTATTTGACACAAGTAGGGCTCTCACAATATCAGATTTTCACTACACAATTGTCAAGGACAAAAGGATTCATGTTGCATTGCAATACCTAGAGAACATTTGAAATGCCATTATGATCGAGCCAAATTCATGTTAAGCCTTGATGATTTCTGTGTATGTTTTGTTTTTTTGCTCGGAAATTAACTACAGTTAGAATACAAGTGCAAGGAGAGAGTCTGAAATGATAACTGTCCATCCCTGGAGGCTCCAAAATAAATGTTTTCACCACTTTTGCAAAAAGTAATTTCAACAGTCTCAAAATCATAAACCTCTTTTTTTAGTCTACTGTAGTTATTTGTATATATACTGCATTGATATCATAATTTGTGGACTATTAACACTGCATCAGATTTTTATTTTAAACGTGGTTAATGTCCATAACGGTATATCCAAACAGCCCTACTTTACACTTCTTAATTCCCATGACTTTCTAAGCTGTCGATAACTGCGAACTCCCACTGAGTTAATACCACTGACCAATGCAGCGATGTCCTGACAGCTGGTATCCTTGGTGACAGATGCAGCGGAAAGAGCCCAGAGTGTTGAGACACTGATGCTGGCACGGGGAGAGAGAAGACTCCTGGCACTCATCCACATCTGAAACACACAATCGACACATCTGGCTTTACACATCTACTGCCCACACCAGTATACTGTATGTATAAACTTAATTTTAAGCGATGATAGTTTTCCTAGGGAATTATTGCAGGAACAAATATAAGTGGATTAAACAAAGAGAGGAAGCATGCACAACTACGGCAGGGGATAAGTTGTTCTGAAATGTTGTGCAAACAGTGATTAGCAGTGACTTGCCTTCACAGCTGGTTCCTGTGATGCTGGACTTAAATCCTGGTCCGCACTTGGCCTGGCAGCGATATGTGCCCACTGTGTTGACACACTGCTGGTTGTAGTGGCACATGTGTGAGGCCTGGGAACACTCATCAATATCTGGTATAAAGTGAAACACAAGTTATTTTAAATATATATATATTTTTAAATTGTATACCCCGTTTATCTTGGCCCTTTTTGTTTGTTTTATGTATATATGTCACACTGTGGGACTGCGGGAAACGATATCTCGAGATTTCTGGATGTATAACACATGTAGTAATTTTGACAATAAAGCTGACTTTGACTTGACTTTGAAGTTAGTGCTGAGGAGAACATTAATATGATTATTTTTCATTTGCTTAACTAGGATATTAGCAATTCTAATCTGGTAATCAATCACTAAACTTGTGTTTTTGTCTTACCCTGGCATGTGTTGGTCTCTGTGGAGATGGTGAAGCCGGAAGGACAGGAACAGGAGAATCCTCCCATGATGTTGTTACATGAGTGAGAGCAGGGGGACTGGAGATCACACTCATCTTCATCTAATAAGGACAAATTGAATCATTAAAAGAAACAGGGACAAGGACATATGTTCAAGATAAAGCAGGTTTAAAAAAAAAGAGAAGAAAACAGCATACCAGCACAGTAGGAGGCCGTGTCGAGAGTGAAACCTTTAGGGCATGTGTCTTCAAACCCGTCTGCAAACAGAAACGTTTGGTTCATAGATATTTTATTCAGATCCAGTATTTCATGTGATGTAAAGATAGGTTTTAAATCAATGTAATGTCCTCCTCTGACCTGGTGTGAGAAGGCTGGCAGTGATGTGGAAGTCCAGAGAGAGAGTAAACATGTTGTAGACGCTGTTGGTCCCGGAGACCTTGAGCAGCTGGAGCAGAGGGCCCTGGCGCTCCTCCTGGCCCTCATAAATAATGGTGTGATTGCAGCGCAGCACCATGGGCTTTCCTGCTCTCTGGTGGGTCTGCGATGACCACGAGTACAGCTGCCCCTGGCCCGTCTGCAAATATGACTCATCGAACTCCTGCGGGACAGAAAATAAATACAGTGAGGGAAATGGAAGAGGGTATATCAACAAATTCTCTAGTGAGATGTTTGAGAACTGTAAATAAACACCATAATCACAACAGTGACTCACTTGTAGGCTCAGGTGAGATGATGTTAATGAAGGAGGCACAAATCCATTAATTACGATGTCGATTAGTAAAACTCCCTCAGAATCCACACCTCTGGCAACATGGGTCAAACGAAGGACTTCCCCTGTGTGAAGGGATTCAAAAACAGTCAAATGACAACTCATCTACAAACACAGGAGAGCATGGTGAAACAGTTTAGATGTAATGGCCTTGATGTGTAAACTCAGGAATGTCAGAGGAAGTGAGTGGCACCATCTGCTGGTTGTTGTTTAAACTACAAAATAACATTTGAGGGCATCTGGTCGCAGATAAAAAGTAAGCATTAATGCGTAGGATATACATCAACTAAGCCTGCATCATTTTGAATCCAATCGAAACAGATGGGTTTAGAAATTGGCCATGCTACTTAAAAAAAAAAAAAGACATTACCATAAAGATAACAACAACTTCTAAACTGTACGACAAATCACCTCTGGCCGGAAGAGAACTCTCTGCTCCATAGCCTCTCTTAATAACTGGACTTAAAATTCCCACTGGACATTTTACCATTTAATTAATATTGAATAATCCATTCTTGCACAATAATATCCTGCATTATATTTGTTACTGGAGATTTGTATGTATATATCTTTTTTTTTCTTTTTTTTCCTTTTAATTCTTTTAACTTTGTAATGCTATTTTATTCTTATTTCTATTTCTGAAATATATTGGACTTTTTATTTCTGTGTCTTAGTTTCTCTTATGCACATTGCCTTGTGCTTTATTATGCTGCTGCAACACAAACATTTCCCAAAGTGGGATCAATAAAGTATCTATCTATCTATCTATCTATCTATCTATCTATCTATCTATCTATCTATCTATCTATCTATCTATCTATCTATCTATCTATCTACCAACAGCTATGTACGAATGACAATAAAAGCCTTGAATCTTGAAAAAACTTGAAATTGGCTAACATTTATTATTAAAGTGCATGCTTGTAAAAGTGATTAAGAGCAGTGCTTACCAGTCTCAAACTCCATCTGAGACTCCTGTCTGAACTGCCCCTCAGTGAAGGAGTAGCCGTTTCTGGCAGCTCCGCTCTGCTGCACAGTGGTCCAGTAGATGGGAGCGAACGCAGACACCAGCACCCTCAACAAGGGACCTACAAGGAAACAGAATGAGCTCATGGCATCTGACACAACCACTGAAATACAGAGAGCCCACAGTACATGCATGGGGACCACATCATAAACATCAGCTCTCCTGATTTCACCTCAAAAAGTGAGCAGAACATACTCAGATCAGCTTTTCCATGAAACTGAGGCCATTCATCAACAGAGTAAATGAACAGGATATTTCTTCACGAGAAATTAGTATAAAGAAATCCATTTAAGGTTACATTTTAAAATCTTAAATCTTCAAATGTTGTCTTTTAAAGGTCCCCTATTATACTGTTTTTCATCAATATATTATAGGTATCAGATACTGTATAAACAAAACATGTCTCTGAAGTGTTTGGCTCCAAATACCAAACAGATCATGCATTGCAGCATCCCATAATCCCCTTTGTTTCAGCCCTGTTTCAAAAGTGCTGATTCTCTGT